ACTGAATAAAAGCCAAAAAGCTGTAAGGGAAGGATCTGCGAAAACAGTACCCTAATTTCGGATATGGGTAGATCCTTATTTCGGATATGTAACGTAATTTTTAAGACTAGTTGGTTGAGACACTATGCTACAAACCGGAAGATCACGGGTTCGATTCCTGATGAGGTAATTGGAGTCTTTGAATTTACCTAATTCTTCCAGCCGCAATATGGACCTGAAGTCGACTCAGCCTCTAACAGAAATGAGTACCAGGCGTCTCTCTGGGTGTAAAGGGCGGCAGGCGCGTAAGGCTGACAACCTCATCACCATCTGTGAGCCGACTGTCTAGAAAATGTGGGAACCTCGACGTCTCACAACCCTATGGGTCTACACGGCCTGTTACAGGGATAGCTTTACCCTTTTCACCTTACCTTTACTGAAAGGAAGAAGAGAAACACATGTCTACAGTATGTACAAAGTCTTATTTTATATAAAGAAGAAACGGTCGTATCAAGAAAATATTAATTACATGAATATGTGCAAAATAAACGTAAGGTTTTCAACAGAAGTTAGCACCAAGTTATGTTCTTATAGAAAGAAAACAGTTGCGAATCACAATTCAAATTCGACTGTAACCTTAGCTCTGCAAGCGAAAATATTACATCAGAACTGGCAGAAACATACACTGACGGTAAACGAAACACAGCTGCTTCAACGTTCCGTCTACCGCTGCTGATAAATTTGTCGGGTATGAGGAATAAGGTCCTGTGCCCACCACCGCAGTGCTGCCTTTATGAATACTTCCTCAAAAACCACGATATCCGAAACTAAGCGCCTTTAGTCTATTACAGACATGAATAATGCATGACGCTTGAAGTTATATTCCCCAAATTCAACTGAGTCGAAATATGTATGTTCGTTCACCAGTTGAAACTGTACGCAGATATACAGCCTTAATTACTAGATCTAATTTATGCGTCTTGCTAGTTACACCATGGCGTCCTAAATTCTTCCCAGAACACTTTAATACAATATAAGCAAACAAACTCCGTGGAATGTAGTCCGCAAGCGAACTATACCAACGGAGCGCCAACTTATACGGATAGAGGGTGTCGCGTGGTCAGCGCAACGAATCCCCACGGCCGTTAATCTCGGTTTTCT